TGTTTGCTAAAAATGATTAATTTGAATGAGATACACACCTCATAAACCAGACTTGATATTGTAAAACAAGAGTAAACCACTCTAGAACAGCTTCTACAGTTCACAGCTTATAACTTTTAAATAACATATCCCATCTCCATATGAAGCAACGTTATTTCAACTTGTTCTAAAAACACAATATACATAGAGATTTTGTCCCACAAAACTTCTTAAGCTATACATGAACTGAACTTGCGAAATAAAAATATCAAACAACAAATACAGATACTAAAATATATGGAAGCTCTCTTCTTAAAACGCATGAAAGCATTTCTGGTAAGAATGTACCCAAGATTTTAGAACAATGATCCTAACGACAAACCTGGAATATCAAACTGCAAAAATAGATGGCTTGTTTGTTTCGAAACATACCATTCCCTCGAGCTAGCTAGCAAAACTGAAAATATTTTTCCCTAACTATGATCTTAACGGCATACCAAGAACTAACATAACTTGCATCGTACTTATGAAGTGCATGCCTCGTACCTTCGGATTATGCCATTGAAAAGGACTCTTTATAAGAAAATGAACACAACAGAATCATTGTATGAAAAATGAAATTGTGCATTTTGTAGCTCTAAACTTCTAGAGCATAGAATTGGAAAATGAAATTGTAGGCCACAATAATAGGTGGATATTCAGATATGACATTCAGGTCGAGTGCTAAAAATTTTACCCCGGCAATGGATTTACAAAATAGACCACAATATTTAGTCATGGAATTCATGCTCTTTCTTCTTCTTCACCGTTGCTCATGTTGTCACAATTAACTGAAATCACCAAAATTTATAGATAAATGTTATCGACCTACCGTATTCCTGAAAAAAAAATGTTAGCCTACTACAAACCTCTGGGCAAAGCTACCCTTTCAAAGTATTGAGTTATTGACAGTCTGCAATTATGCCTGTGAGAAGGAAATCTGCCATTTTCCTACGGCAAATTCAGATAGTGACAAAACCTGCCAGATATCCAGAAGAGTCAAGGCATAGAAGTCAAGCTAGTGTTCATAATAACATATATAATAGTGAATTAATTTCTTACTGATCTTGGCTTGATCAAAGATTAAATCTGCATGGCTTGATTACATGCAAAGAAGGCACATATTTTTTTTGGAATGGGATATCCTCAGCTTCTTGACCAACTGCTTGCACATTAGGACTCCCGTTTTGACCCACTTTATCTATTCAACAAAGCAAAGCATGCAGACATTTTTCGTCTAGAGGAATATCTGCCTGCGAAAATTCAGCAGGAAAATTTGTTTGTTTAATCCAAGTAAAATTGATAGGAAGTCTCAAGGAAACAACCAGAGCATGCAACAGTAATACACATCACCTGACTATTCATTGCTTTTGGTCAAGTCCAAACCAAGAAGATCCAAGACGTACCAGACTCTCTCACCGCAGCAGCTACCTTCAAAAGCACTAAGAAGTTGTATTTGCCAGGTAACATTGCAAGTGAAGCATTACCTGTGGTAGATTAAATCGAACTGATTTCTTTGAGGTGGGAAGGAGGAGGCGCAGTCGAGAACACGCTCGGCGGGAGCAAGCACTGGTCTTCCCTCCCGCCGGATCTCCATCGCACCGCTTCAATCCCCACCGTCAGGTCTCCTCTCCCTTGCAGGCTGTCGCCGAAGACCACGATCAAGTGCAGATGTGAGCAATCGAAGACGTGGCAGCCTGGATCTGGGCAAAGGACCATGGCAGGGAGTCTTGGATTTGGAGCACACCTAGGGAGGGAGGACTGGAGAATGGTTCATGTGTAGGAATAAGTCTTGGCTGGTTGGTCCTGGTCTTGTGGTGTCTTTTCTTGCTTTTTAGCTTTCTAGGACAGCATCTCTACTTTCAGTTTGGATGCTCTAGGACAGCTAGGACAGCAGTTTGTTGAGATGCTCTAGGACAGTTTGTTAGGATGCTCTAGGACAGCACCCTCTTGCCCTAGCATGGCTGCTACAAGCAGCTATAAATATGTACCCAATCCTCTTTGGGAGGATATGGCTTTGTGTTTTGTGAATGAAGAAAACCAGAAAATTGCCCCATCTCGAGTGCCATCCTCTTCTCAATGAGAGTAACCATTGAAATTCTAACATCCTGGTGGTTGACGGGAGTACCATCGAGGGCGTGGCGGATGAGGGGTGGTGATGCCGGTAGGTGACACAGGAGAGCGATGAAAGCGGCCGGCGAGGCTATGTGGCGGTGACGGAGACTACCAGCGAGGTGGAGATGGGGAGGAGGCCGAGCATTTTTTGTGGATGTCAAAATCGAGTGTAGGTGGTGCATCATCAAGGGCGAGATCAAGGGGAGGAGGAGCCGAGGAAGCTATCGGCGGCGTGATTGAGGGGGAAGCGATGATGTGGTGACGGAGTGTGCGGAAGAGATGTGAGTAGGCGACGGGTTTAGAGTGGAGGAATTTGCGGAGGCGGCGCGGAGACTCTGTGCATGGGCCTAAGATTCTCGTGATTTGGCCGTTCGATTGCACAGTAAAAACTCCTCCTTTTTATATTAGTATATATATAGAAGTATAGATAACAATAAGATATGTTGGACCTGATTCGTAGTAGAAAATGTTCCATACGATTCATATTTTGGGACGAAGGGAGCAGCTACTGCTTCATCAACAAATATAAGTGTTGTTTTATGAAAAATTAGATTTGAGGTGAAGTAACTTTCATACCGTTGGTTGAATTTCATTGTTGGGCAAGAGGGTAAGTGGAGAAATTAATATGGGTTGGTTTGGACGGAGAAGTAGTACTATAATTTTTTTTTACCATGGGAAAATTTTGAACGGTAGAAGAACTTTATTTTTATATTTCTGTGAATGGAGAGAGCAATATACATTTATAAACTGTACTTGCACGCACGGCTAAGGAACCTCTCGAGAGCTCTCGTGACAGCCTGGACGAAAAAAAGTCTTCCTCTTCCCTTTCCTCTCAGATCCCTCTCCCTCCTTGTCTTCGGTGGTCTGCCGTCGGCGATAGGGGGGGGGGGGGGAGGGGTCGATGGTCCTCTGTTCTTTGTAGATCCAAAGTTTCATCCGGTATGTTGAGCTCTCTCATAGTAGTGTTTCTTTTGGTTGTCGAGGAGGTTGCCGCAACCAACCATCCTCGTCCTAGCGTTATGGTGGTCGTTGCCGGTGGTTTAATCGGTTCTTGACTAGCATGCTGCTGGGTTTCTCTGTAAAATCAAGGAGTTGATTTATATTTTGTGATGAAAATATTGGTGGTTTGCTAATGTTATTTTGCAAATTTTATAGGCGGTTGATTTTGTGAAGTGAACGTTTTCGGTTGACCCTGGCGGTTAGACCGGTCGGGTGCCGCCGGTCAGACCGCAGGTGTTGCGGCGATCAGACCGGTCGACCCGACGGTCTGATAAGTAGGATCCTGATTGTTGTCGGTTTCGGGTTGTCTTGCCGACCCGACTTGTAGATGGTTTCTATGCGTACGGATACTGTTATTATACTAATGTGAGTCAAGTTGGGATGAACTTGTGCTCGGAATATGGTTTCTTGGTTGTTGCACGTGCAGGTGTTGCTTGAGGCCTCGGAGAGTGTTGCATGTGATAGATTGGAGTCGACTTGGGATAAGTTGGTGTCGAGGGATCAAGACATCATGCGGGATACTAAAGGCTAGAAGACAATGCACGTAGTGATGAAGAAATTCGTATGATATACAAGAGGGATTGTGTACGTATGGAAAGAGGAGTCGAATTTGGAAGGGAGTCCGAATTCGGGAAGATTGATTGAGATAAAGAAAGGAATGAGTTAGATACTTGCAAGAGATGGTTTCCTACGTGGGTTAGGAGTACTAAGTTGTGTTAGATTTGTGGGCTTTACACAGCCTACCTCATGTATAAATAAAGAGGGAGGGTGAGGCCTCCCGGTATCAGTTTTAGAGAGACTTGAGTGTAGAGAAAGTTAGGTTTTCGAGTTTAGTTCGAGATTTTGGTGAGGAGTGCTGTTGGTGCACTTTGTAAACACTAGTTGATGCAATAAAGTCGAAAGTTTCAATCTACATCTTCGAGTTTGTCATCTAACGGCAGGTATGCGCGCGGTCTGACCACGGGTGATCGAGTTGTCTGTCCGAAGATGCTTACGAGGCTTCGGCGGTCAGACCAATGGTGAATAGGCGGTTCGACCGACAACGACAGGGCTTCGTCATCTACTTCGTTCGAGGTAAATCTTTTATTCCGCAAAATATTTTGGGTTTTTGGTTTATCCTACCATTCACCCTACTGTAGGTTTGTTTGGTCGTGTGCAATCCTACAATTCGTACCGGAGCCTGGCTAATTCAACATCTCTGGCCCAAGGGACATAGTGTGCGAAGGCCTGATGGACCATGGGTGCTTGCGGTGCCCGTATACCTGAGCGACCGTATACCTGAGGGACCGTCGGGAAACGGTGAAGGGGCAGTGAACGGCTGAGGGACACCAATGTGTGAAGGGGGAGATTGTTAAATAGTCCTAAACTGGTTGTGGAATGGCAAAGATATAAGTGGGGGAGCCCCTCACCTCATTGGCTAGCTTTTGGAGTGGGAAAGGCCCTTTACGATCCTAGGATCGCACAAGACCAAACAAACCTATCAAAGGGTGGGGGGGGGGGGTTGAATGGTGGGATAACCAAAAAACCACACGCACACCTGCGGTTAGACCGTCGGGACCCAGAAACACCGGTAGATGACAAACGTCGGGCTTTTGTTGATTATGACCAGAAGAGAGCGATAACGTTGGCACGGAAGTCACGGTCGACAACAAGAGTTCATTTAAATTAAAGTCGGAGGGCTACTGTCAGGGTTACGGATAAAGCATACCTCCTATCCTACGACTTGTCAAATATATCGGATTGGTATACCTCATATCCTATGATATGTTTTCGTATGCAATAAGGAAATACACAAGATGTTATGGAAAAATATTCTCACGTGCTGGAAACTATCATAGTCCTACTTGCAAAGGATAGGGATTATTCTTTATCCTGCAGGGTTTGTTGTCTCCAAGTTTTACTTGGAGACTAAGGCAACTCATGATATAAAAGGCATACCCCCGAAGGGGCTGAGGATCTTCGAATCATAGCACCAACACACCCACCATAGTCTATGAAGCCGATGGTCTCAAGTCAAAGCCGCCGGGAGGTCTCGTCTAATAATCTCGATAGGGATCTCGTCGGTATCAACAAGTTCATCTGTTCTCTTTGTATTCTGTGGTCTTCCATATCAATTCCATATAAACTAGATTAGGGCTATTACCTTACGAGGGGCCTGAACCAGTATAATCCTTGTCTCTTGTTTGTTTTGATGTCGTATCGTGTAGATCCTCGTACTAACGTACCCCATCCCCGTTTATCTGGTCTACGAGTATCTCCCGTCGACAAAACTTATCGGTGACGGGCCTTATTCTTAGCCCGATTGAGATAACTACCATCCGTGACGGCCAAATGCTCGATTGAGATAATTTCTCACATCAGTGACCTTTGATTAATGACGGTAGCCCTTCTCGACACTGATGATGCTGTCCGCCCGATTAAGATGACCTATCCCGTGCTAGTGTGAGCTCCGGTCATCGTAAATGTGCATGCTCCCATGACAATATGAGGGACACTTGGTGAATAGCACCAAGGTAGAAACTAGTGGGACCTAGTTAGTGTTAACGGCTGTTAAGTACCAAATTAACTCCGTTAATACCAGCATAAGACCATAAATATAAAACATCCAACATAGTCCCAGGGCTTATTTCTAACAATTTCCACGAGTGTTGGTGACAAACTACCAAGGTTGAGAGGAAATATACATGAAGGAGGATGAGAATCAAACTCGTATCCGAACTTAAGGAGTTTTGGACCCAGAAACCCAATTAAACACCTCTAAATGGGCCAAACATTCATACCGATGGATTCAGGGGCCCAAAATAAGTGTCCAGGCCAAAAATCGGAGCGAACGGAGCCGTCCCGGGTTCGGAAAAAACCCTTACGGAGGCCGCTGGCCCAGGACCAAGTTGCATTCCGTTGATAGCCGCTCCCTAGTGATGGTTATGGCCATTATCACCTGTAGAAACCGTCATAAGCTGGACACATGGCACTAGGAGGATGAAGATGCTCATTGGATTCTTGGTGGATCTCCACACCCCCAAGCAAGCTCCACCTATAAATACCCCTCCTCATCCTTCATTCCGACACACACCAAGATGTAGAGCTAAATTACAAGAGGCTCTAAGTATACTTCAGATTCTTTATATGGTCTATAGTATGCTTAGAATAGTAAGAGAGAAAGTAGAAGAAGTCGGAAGAATCCCAGAGTTGTTGGTAATCCTCTTATCCCAGAGTTGTTGGTAATCCTCTCCTTATTCTTGTGCTTTGTTAATTACTCTGGTTCAATAGAAATATCATTCTGGGTAATTAAGATTTGCTTAGTGACAATTATTCTTGGTTAGTTCCTAAATAGCATACGAGATCATTGTTCACTGTAGTCCAGCAATATATAGTGATTGCTTTAGTGCTTGGCCAGTGCTAGAGTAGTTATTAATTGCGTAGACGCGGTGTCTGGGTAATTAATTTCCAGTGGTTGCTGCATATCCCACAGTATGTTAGAGGTGGGTGTAGAGGTGGTGACAGCCCCCAAGAGCACTTAAGTCCTCCCTGTCCATGTACGTAGTGGAGCGACATATGGGAATAGCGGATTGCCAGTGCTTGAAGTGTCGCGTTAGGATTAAACTTAAACTTTCCTTATACACTGTTTCTCACTAGAAAATCATCTCTATCCTTTGCCCATATTTATCTTGTGTCCTTGGATGAACCGGAGGAAGAGATAATCACACACGTTCCTTTGGATTCGGTACCCT